CAATTACTGATCAGTTAAGATTTCATTGATAAATTTTAGTGTTGATAAACACATTTCATTGATAAACATTAGTGTTGTTTAACGGCAAACAATAAATATGCGGCGCGTGTCATGCGCAATTAAATTAGCTGCCACTGTTAATTGATATTCGTTTTTGTTTACATAGCGCTACTTGTTAAAATTCTCTTTTGGATAATTTTTCTCCAGAAAGGTAAAAGCTCAAATTAGAGAGTTACATGTTTGGAATAGACTCGACGTGAGTTTTAATCGTATGCAAAAACAATTGCCATTATCGAGAGCTTCCAAAATCAGATGAAACTTGATCGCTCTGTTTAATCCTCTGTATAATCATATTTTTTGGAACACTGAGAGAAAAGTATTTGTTATTTATAACTATATAATCACATAGAGAAATAATTATTATGATCAGAAAAATAATTTTTTTTATTAAATTTTACTATAATTTTAGTGATAATAACGTTACATGCATATTATTACTACCATTTTCGTGTTAAAACAATCAAAACATATAATTGAGGCCAAAAATAATTACAATTTTAGTTAAATCAACAATTGTTTTTCTCTTAATGCACACTACAATCTGAGCTTGTTACAGACAACTTTGAGCAATATTGAGCTACCATGACTTTGTTGAGAATCAATATCTCTAGACACTTTTTTCTAGAAATATCGAGAAACCCCAGAATTGTAAGATATTAGCGCAATAAAATAAAAATCCGCAAACAGATTTGTGCCATTTTGAAATTTTCCCATACCCTTTGCGGAAGTTAAGAAGTGCATATATTTGCATATAAAGATAAAACTTTGGCGACTTAGACTGCGGTTTCAAAAAACCGCAACGGGCACAATTCGCGGCTGAGTAGTCCTGATATTTGTCAAATTGATAATTGCGAGCGCGTTATGCAACTCTCCCGCGTGTCAGATCGGTTCGGCTGAGGCTTCCTGAAGGAGGGTGCGATCCGTCGCAATAAAAGGTCTTTGCACGCGCAGCTAGGAGTTAAGTCGTGGGTAATAATTACCGATCCCTCGTTAGCGCCGCCAATAGACGGTCTCGCCCACCTGCCCACGTTATAATAATATAAGCCGCCTCTTTTGCGGTCGGTAGCCCTCGCACGTGCCGCAGCCAGAACCTCCTTTATTCATTTTCTGCCCTTCGTTTCTTACCCTCTCACGCCCCCAGGCCGTCGGGCGCTCCATCGAGTGCCCCGATCCGTTTCACGATTTTCTAACGCTCCAGCGTCACGTTACGTCAGGGATGATTCCTTCGAGTCCTCCGATATATCGGATAATCTCAACTTAATATAACGGCAGCGTAGGTGCCGTACAATCTCGTACGCTTATAAACGTGTAATTCAAGAATTCGTCGTTCTCCGCGAATCACTCTTCGCCTTTCTGCGATTCTCTTCTTTCTATCTTCTTTCTTTTATCTATCTTCTTCTACCTTCTCTCTATCTTCTTTCGTACGAAAGAGCCGGCTAGTGGCAATACAATTACGAAGATATATTCGCTGATAGCCTGCGCAAGTATGAAAGTGACGAAACTACCGAGATGTGAGAGCGCGCGAGGATTATGCAGAAATTGATTATTGCGAGCCATTGCGGAGGCCTCCTGTCTCGCGTCGCCGGCTTAAAGCACCCTTTTCGCAATCCTCCCGATATTCCCGTGCAATCGCGCGGGCTTCTCGCTCGGTTAATTGCGTTATTCAGAAACGATCAATCAGCAATTAGCGATCCACTGTCCAGCGGAGGACGCCGGACCGCTGCTGGCCGCGGTATGAAAGCCGCTCCGAGAGCGAACAACGTGGAATTATGAATCGCGAAGCCTGAATAAGGCGCGTTAACCGTATCATTACAATTCCTAATCAAACGCCGGCGTTCACGGCCTTAATTTGTGAAATCAGATTGCGAAGTAACGCGCAGAAGCACGTCTGTGCGCTCCGGCGGAAGAGCGATGGAGATTCCTCATGGTCCATCTCGTTTGTTCTCATGCAAAGAGTACGGCCAGAGTTTCGCCCCTTTTCCTTGTGAAGCTTTAAATATTCCAATTAATGATATACCGATTGGAAACTTAGGATGAGTAGGTATTTTAAGAATATAAAATCTCAATATTAATAGTTGTGTTTGTAGGAGATGAAAGTATTTACAATCTCAACATAGGTTGCACCATGCATTAGTATAGCTGTCTATTGAAACTGCAGCCATTTGGGCTATTTCTCTCTCAATGACTATGAAAATAATATCGAGACTTTATATTCTTAAATTTACTCGACGTGAGCTTCAAATTGCTCTTTTATCCTTTTTTTTTCTATATTTTCTAACGTTACAAAATAATCTCTCTTTCTCCTTCTCTCTCTCGCTTTGGAATTCCCTGCCTGTAAATATCACTGAAGCTTCCTCTTTAGCGTCCTTCCAAAATCTGCTCTTTAAAAAACTTCAGAATTGTGAAGTGCGTGGTGTGAGCTTTACGCTCTCAAATTTTAGATAGGATTGAATTGTTGCGCGCTATATCCTTATGTTATTTATGTTTAATATTCTAGCGTTGTAAAACATAACTATTTTTGTCTAGCGTATTATTTTACTATTATAATTGTAAAAATTTTATTTTAGTTTAACTTATTAACTATCTATTATTTTGCTGTACTCTATGTATCTGTATTTGTGTATTTGTGTGTATCGTGTGCTTAAAGATTTCTCCGTGCATTAAATCCACCTATCTATCTATATATCTATCTATCTATCTATCTATCTATCTGTTTATCCCTCTCACACGTGTTCACAAAGTGACGTTTATTATTAAATATACTCATCACGTCCAACAAAACTTTTTCCTCCGCTTTTTCTCGTCGTTGGAAAAAAGAAACTAAGCGGGATCTTTTTCTTTTGCGTGTCGCCTGTGTAGGTGCTAGAACTACGTGATAAATATATTATATCCGTCTCAGGGATCGCGAGCGAGCTGTTCTGAAAACGATGACCGGTCCAACCGATACGACGCAACCAGTTCCGCGCGTCGGTCCAGCGCCAATTTGCGCGGCGTCGCGCGAGAGAGGAGACGCGGCCAAAAAAGGACTAGCAGAAGAGAGAGAAAGAGGCACGCAGGAGACCGGTAACACGTGATAGCGCATGACGAAGGCATGATGGATGAGGGGGCGGCTAGTTTACGTGATCGGGACATGATCGCTCGCAGACGGGGTGGTCCGTTTGTCCACCGCTGCTCGCTCCGTGTCCGTCTTTTCTCTTTCTGCCTCTCGAGAACGTGTGCCTCCTGTGCCTCCCTCTCCTCATCCTCTTCCTCCTCCTTCTCCCTCTCCTCCTTCTCCTTGCCCAGCGCCCCATTCCTCGTCTCTTGCCGCTCTCGTCCTTGTCGCACTGCTTGCATACGTCGCGTGCACCAAGGAACGCGGCCGAACGCGCCCCTGTCACCGAGCTCGAGCGATCCTCGTTGTCGTATCCGGTGAATGCGACTACAGGAGAGACTCACGGTACGACCTCGCATGCCGATGTCTCGTCTACTCACGCGTCGCCGAGCAACATTTCGCGGACTGTGCTTGCGCAAAAATATCGCTCATGCGACCGATTCTCATGCTACCATTTGGCGAAGTCGAAACCGCCGCGGGCGTTTCAGCGAGTTTGCTCGACAAGTCGACCTTGCATCTCTCTGCATCTCAAGTATCTCTAGACATTTCATTCTGAAGCTAGTATTTGCATTATGATTGATTAAAGGGAGTATAGTTTACCTTGACTCTTAATCGGAACGCCGATGATCTCAAACAGCTTGTCTGTGCATGCATATATATATATATATATATGTGTGAGTGTGTGTATGTATGAATGTGTGTTTACAGACTTTTCTCATACTGATTAAAATCTTAGAGTGACCTGTTTTGTTTCACCTTCGGCGTAGGGCTATTGCTTCTCATGATAGTTTCAGCGAGAAAATTTTTATTTTACATTAAACCTGCAAATTTAAAAAACGAAAGAAGAATCTAGAGTTATAATATCACACATGTGTTGTTAACAAATAATTAGAAATTTATGAAAAAAAATATTATATATATATATATGTATATTATAGAAAATAAATATATAAATATATAAAAATATATAAATATATATAAATAAAATGTCTGTTTCCTAAACACTTTTAAACTTTTTGTTCGATTTGGATCAAATTTTGCATGGTTACTCTCTGGGACCTTGCCAACAATACAAGCATGAAATCTGAATACAATTCACATCTTTCTCCTGATTTCACCCTCTTGACATTTTATGTGATAACTCGGACGTCATTTCAGGTTGTTAAATGTCGGCTTAAATTTCTCTCTCTCTCTCTTTCTTTCTCTCTCTCTCTCTCTCTCTCTCTCTCTCTCTCTCTCTCTCTTTCTCTCTCTCTCTCTTGATATAGATGTCTCTTTACTTTCGACAAATTCGTCAAACTGTTCGTCGACAGTTCGTCAAAGTCGGGAACATTCTGTGTAAGCGATTTTATACACCTAAAGATACATTACTGCCTCAGCTCTGACTTCTCAATTCACCGTCTTGATTGCTTTGTGGTACTAATATTAGAACTCTGATACATACCAACACACACACACACACACACACACATACATCCACAGATATAATTCGACTTGGAAGAAATCCGGTACCGCGTGACGCAAACATTAAATTAAATATTTTAAAGGCCGACGGGAATAATAACTATCAATGTACTCTCTGCAACATGAACACCGATTGCCGGGTTGGAATATAATGTAACAATCGATTATGAAATAGTATGCGACGTACAAAGTAAGTTTGTCCGTTTCGAAGATCTATAATGTTTTGGTTTACGTGGATTATTGAGTGATCTCTCGCCTACCGGATAAACACGTCAGTTATTGGCGAGCAATAACGGCCTTTTTTCTTTTGTTTTGATACTGTCGTGTAGTGCGTCGCGTACTCTTCCGTGACCGAGTTATTACATTTCGAGTCGACGAGCATATCGTGACGCAGCTGAAGTATTGGTACGTTAGTTATTATTCCCCGCGTTGTAGTTATTGTTCTTTGTATTCTATTGTATGTTAGTTATTATGTTCTCTGTATTCTATTATATGTTAGTTATTATTTCCTAACTCTCTCTTTTATGTAAAATCTTCAATTAATTTCATCGATATCACGTTTATTAACATGCGCGTTTCTCCAATCGAGCCGTATCTACGCGAACGTCAATGCTACGAGGCATATCCGGAGTATCAGCCGGACGAAGCAGCTGGAAGCCAGGGTGCTGGATCGAGAAATCAGGACGGAGGAAGCAGGTCTCCAGTACGCGACAGTGATACATCATGTAGGGGAGAGTTGCCGAAATCGTACCAGTCTTCTAAATGGTACCTCATCAATCGTATCTGATTTTTTTTAATACTTGTAACACGCACAAAATAAGATATAATACGAAAATTTTTATTTATATTTCTCATTGCTCATACATTTTTATTTCTAGGTATATTAGGTGTCGTTCGTATTCAATAATAATAAGGAAATTGATGAGGTACAGGTACGATTTAGAAAATTAGTACGATTTTTGCAACTCTCCTTCGTCCCCAGATACGCTACAGATTGTTTATTACAGAATATCTTTAATTTTAACACACACAGACATTTGGAAAACTTATCGAGAACAAAGAGATACGCGGATTGAAACTTATGTTGGCATTTGTAGTCCTTGATTATTTGATAAATGATTATGTCTTGACGATTATAATCTTACGGAATTCTGATTATTCATTAATTTGTAATATTTATTTCATACGACAATAGACAATATATTGATTCAAGTAGCCAATCAATGGTTCATGATTACGAATCTGTCATGCTCTCAATGAAAGATCGCGAATAATTGGCAACTACGAATGCCGGTCTTGCAATCTAATACAAATGTCATAAATATCGATTTTTCAACTCTCAGTATGAAGAAAATAGTGGTACATAACCATATATAGCATCAAGATAGAATAATAACTTGTGAAGTGTTGTATCTCAAGACTCTCTCTGCAGCATACATATTTGGTGTTCTTCTAGTTCGACGGAATTAGCAGGAATTAGAATGCAGAACCGAAATTACGATTCGGGAAGGGCCGCGCTCCTTTTTTTCCCTCTCGTCGTCGTTTTCGGACGCGGGTCGACTCCGCGAAGTCGCCGTTGAAATCCGTGCGGACGTCGAGGACGGGCGGGCGCCGAAGACGGACGTCTCAGCGGAACCCGGAGTTCACGCTGAGACGTTCTCGAAGACGAGCTCGCGGGCTCCCGAGTTTGACGAGGGCATGGACGAACGGCTTGGATAGGAGGTCCGCGTCGTATATAGGATGGAGCCAGAAACCAGTAGCCCTTCGTCGAAGCGCCCCGCTGACCTCTCCCGACTCTCTCCTCGCCGAGGATTAGACCGCGGAGACGTTCTGACGTGAGGAATGCTTTGCCGGTGCCGAGAGGGATCCTCTCGGGAACGAGGTCCTGCCTCCTCCTCCGCTACTACATCCTGCGCTCTTTTTTCCATTTTCGACGATGTTAATTCTCGATATAACTGTCGCGGCGGGAGAGAGGCTGCGCGAGAGGAAACGAGGCATCTAATTTGAATGCTACTATATTAGCTGCCGCCCGGTGACTCGACAATGTGGACGAAACCGCTCGCGCTGGCTCGCGAGCAAATCGCACGAAATTCGTGCCGAATACGGCATAAAATAAGGGCTTGACGTTTCATCTCGCTAATGAAATCCAGCGGGACGGTTCTCACTGGAGAAATAAACAAAATGATTACAAATTCACCACGCTAGTAAGGAATTGAAGAATGATAAAATTATTTCTTCAATTATTTCCGCAATTACAAACGCAATCGCCTTGTCGCACTATTTGGCGATTACTATTATCAAAAGCTCACTAGTCTCAAATTCGATTCAGAAAATTTCGACTTAAGACTCCTGGATATTCGCTGCAACTATATTGAATCATTTCGTCAGATGCAAGAAATGACACGCTGAAGATTCTTGCCTGCCATTTTCAAATAAAAAGATATATAAATGAAAGAAAGAACTTTAGGTCATTTAAGCATATTTGTAAAATACTCCGAAAACTATCATTTCTCCTTGACAGTCAATAAATAATTGCAAAAGCAACGTCACAAAATCATGGGTAAAGATACACGGAAAGAATAATTTAGTAAAAATTACAATATAATTTTAGCACTACGGAAATAGACTGGCATTACGATAAAAATTATTAAAATCTAATAAAATATAGTAAAAGTGACCATCAACATAGTAAAAATTATTATGTTTATATCTATTTTTACTATGTATTTATTATAATTTTCGTAATAACGCTAGTCTAATCCCGGATTATTAAAATTGTACTGTAATTTTTACTACAATATTCTCTTCGTGTAGATTAAAGAGGAAGGTTGCATGTTACGTCCATTTTACGGCTATTTATTGATTACTGTCTCAAGGGAAAAGAATAGTTTCTGAAACATTTTATAAAAATGCTTAAGCAATTTCAAATATTTTTTCATACAAATATCTTTTTTAATTACTTGCGTTCTCCGGGGAATTATTCTCTTTTTAATGCACTAAATACATGAGAATTTACTATTGTGCACATAGAAAAATACATACTGCATTGAAGTAAAAAATTAAGTGTTACTTAATTCAAGTGCTTCATAAGTTTATATATCCACAAATCTATTGTAAGAGTTCATCATAAGCATCAAATTCAAGATACATTTTGAATCCTAGTAAATTTAGCGTTTCAATCAAGGATATGAAATTAAAACAGCAATTCTGTTTATTTTATACACATACAGTTAAACTTTTTATTCGATACAAAATCTTACAACATATTTTATAAAGCTTAACATTCTTATAAAAAGAGAATGTATTCTTCTTTTGAGCACATGGTTATATCAGCTTTTCTAAAATTTATGATGAGCATATTTCAAGAAAATATCGCTGGTAGAAGAAAATTACTATCTAAAAGAAGAAAAGTAGGCCATAATTGGATTTTTAGCGGTGGAATGATATTTGTTCTTTTTATAAAGCCATTTAATTCGAAAATAAATATCATAACTAACTCTCATATTATACTATATTATAAAAGAAATTTAATCAATATGCTTCTTAGTGAGCTGTGGGATATATTAAATGGAATATATAAAAAAATCGATTTTATTCGAAAATTTGTTGC